GACCTTATGCAGTTGCGAGCGCCGTTAGACCTCTACTAAATAATAAAATTTAATCTGATGTGGTTTGCTTCTTTTTTCCTATCAAACATCTATCGTCCCTATCTCCCTTCCTTTTTTTTATGTTTGTTACCCCCTAATTTGTAACAGCTCTAATCTTCTGTCGCTCATATGACCTTATGCAGTTGCGAGCGCCGTAAAACCTCTACTAAAACAAACAAAAAAGGGTGCCATTCCTTGGTTCTACTCCTTTTTACAATTTTTGTGTTTTGTCTGTCTATCTGGCCGTTTTCACCGCACTGAAATGAGAGCCCTAACTCTTTCCTTTCCCTCTTTTGTCCTGTCTGTCTTTCTTGTTTTGCGGATGGTTGGAGGGCGCCACTGGTAGGTCCTACTTCTTTACTTTCCCTCTGTTGTTTCTTTCTGTCTGCCATGCTTTTTTCCCCGCATTATGTGACCGTTATGGTGTCGATATGCTTCTCTTTACTCGAACAAACAAACTTCCTTGCTTTTCCCCGGCTTTGAGTGACCGTTATAGTGTCGGTGCACTTCTCTTTACTCAAACAAACATACTAACAGACAGACAATAGCATGTACAATGCTTGTATATAAGAGAATCCAGAGGTTACATAACAATCATGGATTGCATTTATATAGCGCGTGTCCTCTTATACAATGCTCTATGCGCTTAACATGAAACATTTATTATGGAATTATAAATCAATTTTATAGGCACATACAGACTTCAACAAAAGTTAGGGACCGTTTGCAAGCACTCTGAGAGGTTCTCTTGGGTCGACCTGCACGTGGGTTTGTTGTTGTTTGTTCTTGGGGGGTTTTCTTGACTGATCTAGTGGCTTGGTGGCGCTGCCTCAGGCGGACAATGACAGAGCATGACACTGCGAGCCTTCTGGCAACTTCTCGGACTCCAACTCCATCCTGCAGCCACGCCATAGCCCTGGCACGATCAAAGTCTCTCAGTTTTCGTTTTGGTGGCAAGTTGATGCGATACCAGATTTTGCGCAAACGGTGGCTTATATTGCCACTAAAGTGAGCACAGTTCGAGACCGTACGTCCGTTTATGTGCACCAGAAATTTTAACTGAGGAACGTCCTTGGTGTCTCACACAAGTCGATAAAAAAAACATCAAATTAGGCTAAAATTCCCCGAGGATTTCCGTGCTGCACGTGGTGGTTTTGGTCCTTTATAAGGCTTTGTAGTACGCGTTGGTAACCCATTAACACTTTTAGAGCAAAAGTTTCGAAACATTCCTTGCTGTCTTTTTTCGGATATTTTTAAAAATTAGGACTGTCTGTCAAGGTGGTCCTTAACTTTTGTTGAAGTCTGTAGTATTACATACGCATGCACACACATACCCACGCATGCACGCACCCATACGCACATACAAACTCACGACGATCTACAGCTTGGATCAAAATAATAATATGATGATGAAAATACGAGCGACAACCAAGGCCTTCATGTGTGATATACGCTATATGTGTAGGGGGCTCCAGTGGCAAGGTGAGCAGTGAGTTCAGACCATAGATGTACAATATAGTACTAGATACAGTACGCCCCTCTCTCGCCTTGCTGCGCGATGGCCACATTTGACAGCGGCGTCCGCCATGTTTTTTGTGGCAAGTCGTGTGAAGGAGTTCATTCTAAAGCAATGGGCTAGGCATGTTTTCTCTCTCTCTCATACGCGACTGGCGAGGCTTGGTTCTTGTTGATTTTTTTTTTTACATGGGCGCCGTGGCGTACTATATCTAAATTACTAAATTGCAATAATACGGCGTTCTTTCTACAACTAGATCTACAAATAAATGTATTATTAAATAGATAGAGATAGAGATATGGGCTTAAAAAAAGGAAGAAGAAAAAACAACCTTTATTTCTTCATCAGCACTTTATCTACGAGGTGGTTTATTTCTTATTGACCGAATCAAAGCGTATAGGGCCTATAGAACTTTTAAAAAGAAGTATGAAAAGATGTGGGTGTCATGGGAACCTTCCTTAACCACCCCACCCTCTCTCTCCTCCCGAATCCCAATACCAACACTTCCCCGGCCCCCCTCACCCCCTCAGATATATGAGTTCGTCATCAAGTTAAATCAGGATGAGCCATAGGGGAAAAAATCCAGAGTTTTTCAGCCTTTAGGTGTAGGAATGCAATGAAGCTCTTGATAAAGCAAATTCAGTCAAACAAATGATGAATACATGTACTGGTATTTTTAAAATCGAGTTAAACTTTCCCTTGTGACATTTCAACAGGAAACTGTATTTTTCTTTCATATGTTCACTTTAAAAAAAAGTATACTAAATTATAAGTAGTGTTTTCTTATGTCGGTATTAAACTTTGGTTTATATTGATTTTAAGAACTAAAGTAGACCATATACAGCACTTAAACTAAAACTCCTTCTATTGCTGTTTTAAGTAAATCTAATTTTGGACATTAATAAAACAACTGTGACAACTCTTGACTCACTAAAGATAAAAAAAAGTGAACTTAAATGTTGTTTTGTAGCCTAGTCAATTGTTTTTCTACTCAGTGTAGTGATAACTGAAACAAACTCAAATGTGTCCGTGTCACATAACCTCGTACGGACTCTAGTTTAAAAGGGGGTAACTCTATGGTTCAGACTCAACAAGTAATGTCAAGCAAGTGTCGGTGACACGAGGTTTAGATGGGTTGTCACTTGAGTGTGTCCTTGAGCAAGACACAACAACTCAAGTTCAAAATACAGGGCGCTGCACAGTGGCGACCGGCAATGGCATGGTTGTAAATTGTTCTGTACTGGTGTAATATTGTGTGTTTATGTATGTATGTGTGCATGTATTTAAGTATGTTTGTATTCATAATTATGTATGTATGTATGTATGTATGTATGTATGTATGTATGTATGTATGTATGTATGTAGAAGTGTCTTTAGGCCATTCCCAAAGGGGGGCCATTTCTCGTTCGTGTGCAGTAGAATTGTAAATGGACTGATTCATCAATGCCACGCTCATAAGGGTGCCTGATCTACAACAGGGAACTGCTGCTTTTTCTTTCCTAATCCTTACTATTGTCTTTTTCCTCTACTTCTTTTGTATGTTTGTCACACTCTTCTGATCCAGTATTTCCGGGGTGCCTTGAAAGTCGAAACAGACTTTGTGCTGTTGAATCTAGAGAGGTGAGTCTGATTCCCTGTAAGGACTTATCTGTTGACATCCATCCCTTGGCGTTCATATAACCTTATACAGTTGCGAGCGCCGTAAAACCTCTACTAAAACTTTTAAAAACCAAATTGGTGGGTGGTTGGCGGATGTTCTGGTGTGGTTTGCTTCTTCTTTCCTATCAAAAGTCTATCGTCCTTATCTCCCCTCCTTCTTTTTTATGTTCGTTACTCTCTTGTAACACCTCTAATCTTCTGTCGCTCATATGACCTTATTATGCTGTTGCGAGCGCCGTAAAACCTCTACTAAAACTAAAACTAAAATCCAAATTACCCCTCTGGGATCAATAAAAGTGTAATTTATTATTTATTGATATTATATCTCAAAGAGTGTCTTCTCATTATCTCCCCATTTCTGGTCGCTACTTTGCTGTACCAGTACTTTGTTTGGTTGTTGTTGTTGTGTTTTTTTTTTTAGCTAAGGCTAGTCTTGTCTTGCTCAAGGACATTATTATTTACTGGCATCAGTGGTGTAGCCGTTACGCGCTTTGCAGTTGCATGCAGAATTTCTTAGTTCGATTCTTATTCTTGTGTGGGGAGAATTACATCGTGCATCTCTAGTCTTTCTGCTGGAACGCTGTAGCATGCTCTGCCAGGGTTCGTCAAAGCATGTCTCCTAAATGTCTGAATTTTATCGATGGGAGCGTTAAACACCCTCATCTTAATTTTTTTTAAAGAAAAAGACACACATCTCTGTGACCACCCGTCTAAAAGCCGCTTCGCCGACATTGCTCGAAGTTATCATGTGACCATGAGCTCTTTAACCCTGAACCATTGGAGCTCCCAACGTAGCTTCATCATCGGGTAGTGGTGAATACTGTTTTAATTTGCTCCAGCTGTTAAATATTAGCCCCCTACATTTATTACGAAATACAGTACAATACCCGTATTACGAAAAAAAATGCATGTTACGAAGCGGACGTCTCAGTGAAAAAAGCTTTCGCTGTTAAACTTTCTGTGCGTGCTTGAAACCCTGTGTCCTGTGCCATTTGCAAAGTCTGTGTCCATTCCTTTGCCTGTCTGACCAATAGAGGCTCTCCATTATCTCAGTTTGTATCATACTTGAATATGGGGTGTATGGCCCTGGTTCAAACCCCCGACTGGGCTTTCTTGAACTGGAATCGTTCTGTTGAATTTTCAAGGCCCTAGATCCACATCTATCTGGCTCGGTGCTATCGGAGCTGAACGTTAAATTCCGAGGCCCCCGCCTCTTAAATGACCCAACTAACATTATTTGACAGAAGCATTAACCAAACACTTTTTTACTTTTTATGTTTTTGGCTGGTGGATGCTCTTGTGTGGTTTGCTCTTTCTTTCCTATCAACCATGTATCGTCTTTATCTCCCCCCCCCCCTTTTTTTTTCTTAAAACGTAGATGTTGCTATCTCCAGTAACACCTCTAATCGTCAGGACTTATATGATATGACCTATCTGTGTTGAAGTGCCCTAAAACTATTACTAAAACTAAACTGAAGCTTACTTTGTTTTTGTGGGTGGTTGGCAGGTGCTCTGGTGTGGTTTGCTTTTTCTTTCCTTTGAAACATCTATCGTCCTTATCTCCTTTTCTTCTTTTTTATGTTTGTTACTCTCTTGTAACACCTCTAATCTTCTGGCGCTCATATGTCATATGACCTTATGCTGTTGCGAGAGCCGTAAAACGTCTACTAAAACTAAAGCTTACTTTGTTTATCTCATCAGGCTGAGTTCTCTCTGGAGGTGGTGGACGAGTCCAAAGGCACCATGATGTTGACCTGTGAAGGCATCGGACACCAGAACCCCTACCTTTCTTCCTAGCCGGACAGGGCGCATGGCAAGCGCAATATAACATCACGACGGTGTTGTCGCTGTCTGTTAGTGACGTCGCGAAGCTGTTTACTGCTGTTGGTGAGGGTACTGGGCATCATCTGCTAAAGTGAATTAAAAGATGCGAGATCACTAATTTTTTTGTTTTAAAATACTGTAAAGCACCTTCAAAATTGCCTATTTTGTGGGTGGTTAGTAAGCGCTCTGTTCCTTCTTTCCTGCCAAACATCTGCTGTCATTGTCTCTATTCCTTTTCTTTGTATGTTGTAATTACTCTCTAGTACTATATACTAATATGACTTATTTGTGTTACAACTACCACAAAACTTACTAAAACTTACTTAAAAACTTGAACACATTTGTGTCTAGTAGGGCGTTTTAGTTTTACTCACACAAAACAACATGAAATCTGTAGAACATGTTGAATTTGAGAGCTTGTCGCAGGAAATGCAATTATCAGTTGATGATACCAATATTTATTACAATGGTTTGTGAGTACGTATGTGTATATTTTTTTGTGTGCAAATATGTAGGCGCGTAGGCTACATGTAGGCCTACACTCTCTCTGTTTGTGTTTGAGCGTTTGCATGGGTGTGGGTGAGTGAGAGAAGCGAGAGTGGGTAAAAGAGTGAAAGTCTTGGAAAGAGACAGTTTGTGTGTGTGTGTGTGTATGTGTGTGTGTGTGTGTGTGTGTGTGTGTGTGTGTGTGTGTGTGTGTGTGTGTGTGCGTGCTTGCTCAGGTACACATTCATGTATTTATTCTGGTATTTTGACCGTTAAAGAACAAATGTGTAGTCCACATATTTGTTGTTGTTGTTAAAAGCTAACTGGACTCTTTCTGAGCCGAATGAATAAGTATGAATAAACTATTGAGCCTTGGCTGGCTGCTGATGTGTGAACAATGCTGTGTTATTGTTACTGTTGTGCTATTGTTGTTCAGTAAGTCTAAGTGGGAATTGAAATATAGGGGATGGGGTTTTTTGTACGTGCTGATTATGTGCTTGTTTCAGAAACTTGTTTTGAGTTGTAATGCAGACAGGAAAACATATTCTTCATTTCGACTGATCTTTTAAAATAACCCATAAACCTTGACAGTTACCAAAGAATGAAAAGTACATGTAGCAAATACAGTTAAAAAAGAATGAACCGATTTCATTGCGCAATATTTTAATTAGGAAAAGCAATTGAAAACTTGAGCTGAGTCACAGGTATTGTATTCACAATCAAATTTTATTTCTTGCCTTACTTTACGCGTGTTCAATGTGGCCATCCATCAACAGCATTGGCAACATATGAGATAAGAGAATTTATCCCTGACACGTTTTTTCATATCACGGTCCATTGAGTTGATCACTGTTTTTATTTGATGTTTAAAGTCATTGAAGTTAGTGGGTAGCAGTGGAACATAAACGCGATCTTTTACATATCCCTACAAGTAAATTCACACACGGTGAGGTCTGGGGATCTAGCAGGCCTAGCACTGGGAGTACGGTCTTAGGCCCCTTTCCGACCAATCCATCACATGGGAACTTTTTTAAATTAAAATTTTTTAAATCTCGAATCATCCGATTCCAATGTGGCAGTGCTCCACCTTGTTGAAAAATGGAGTCATGCTGATCTACTCGTTGTGATGTGAAGAGCCAGGTTTGGAGCATATCGGAATAGGTTTGTCCTGTAAGGATATTTCCTTCAAAGAAAGAACGGCGCGACAACAGCACCCCCTGTAACAGCTATTCAAACGTTAGATAATTCCTCTTTTAAATGGTCACTGACTCATTCCATAACGATGCTTGAGAACTGAAGCAATTCGTCATAAAATCAGTTTTTTCTTTTTATTTTTAATCACCCTGTATTATTTTAGTCTCTTGTTCGGCGAGAAAACAAAACATGTACATGTACATGTAATCGCATGTTGTCGTTCTTATCAGTGGTCGAATTGATCAATTACGAAAAGACGTATGATAGAGATGTTGCTGCTGTTTCTCGTTTTGTAGATGTGTCTCAGAATGTGGAATATGAGTTTCTTGAACTAAGCCGCGGACTTGATATACGTTAGTGAATGTTTGCGTCTGTGATTGAAAGTGTTTATTACTCACATTGTTATAAACCATTGCTCGGGCACAATGGACACCATGGTAGTTCAGTTAGTTGGTTTTGGGATTGAGAGGCACGCACCTACATGACAATGGGTATGATTCAGTCGAACCTGCTTTAACAGCCACCTGTCCAAAACAATCACGACATATACACACGAACACTTTCCACCTTCTTCCTTGCATTAATTTTTGTTTATAGTAACAATGTCCAGGACGTCCACCTGATTAAAACAAACCCTTTTCTCTTCGACAATGGGTGGCTGTCTTGTACAGTTATAATTGTATTTGTCGAAATCCCAGTGGCATCCTCTCTCTAAACACCCACAAGTCAGGCTGTAGACATTTCATCACGATAGCGGATGTTTGCTGAGCATTACGGACAGGTGCTTCTGCTCTCTCTCTCTCTCTCTATCTCTCTCTCTCTCTCTCTCTCTCTCTCTCTCTCTCTCTCTCTCTCACACACACACACACACACACACACACACATACACATAGACACACACAAGTAATAATATGTAACCGTTTTGTTTTTAGGCCCCTTTCAACATTGTTAGTTTGTGTAAGAAGAGGTGGGACTTATGACCATCTCCGATAAAATCGAATCTAGTCTAGTATGTTGTACGTAGAAAGCCTTGGAGACTCTCCAGACAACCAAAGTTCAAGTTCACTGGTCAGGGAAATAGGAATTGAAGCCAATGCCTAAGTTCGGGTCACACTCCTAGTCCTAGTCCTCTTGGTAAAAAATCGGGGGCTGGACAGTTGCCAACGATTTTGCCTTCACATTAACAATGACCGACTTCTTTGAGCACTAAAGCATAGATCTTATTATTGGAAATCAACAGTCGCAACGTTGAACTAAGCGCAACGGTCAAAGGGTAGTGGGCGGGCAAAGGGGCCATACTGGGTTCACTGACTGTTTGGGACGTATAATTATTTTTTTCTAATCTATCTAATAATACATATAATACAGCAATCTGTATGTATGCATGTGTGTATACTTAGTATACATATTATATCAATATGTTGTCTGTTTAATTTTTTTAATAGTTTAGTAAGAGTTTTGCGGCGCTCACAACTGCATAAGGTCGTACATTATATGATCGGGAAACTAACAGAGCCACGCACTTTCGAAAAAAAATAACAACAACTATCAAATCCAGTTTGAAGGTAATATAAAAAAGCAACCCCCTCCCTCCTCCCAACCCTCCCAGAAATCTCTAATCGTAACAAAATAATAAAACTTAAAATATAAAGACAAATATGGCGAGCGATCCCAAAGGCCTACAGGTAAAATGATAATGTTTATGTTAAAAGGGATGTGTCTGTGTTCAGAACGCTTGCGTACCTGTGTGTGTGTG